ATTTTGAAAAAAAATTTAATAGGGTTGGCATCTAGTAAAACACCCAAGCATCTTGTAATGAGTTGAGTAAGAAGAAATTCTCTTCTTCCATGCCTCCTGCCCATCCCGCCCAACCCTTTAGGGGCGACCTGTTTCTCGTGGTTGTAGATCATCAGTTCTCCCAGCTGCAGAATATTCCATTCAATCAGCACAAGACACTTCCTTTATCAGCTCTGTTGTCATGGGCCCTGGCTACAGGCAGGAGACTGTGACAGAGCTCAGGAGGCCATAAGGTAAGGGGTGTAAGAGGAACTGAGGCCATCCAAGCTGAGCTTCACCAGAGCTATGCTCCTTCCCCAGAATACCCCTCATTGACTCATTCAGTTAGTCTCTTCGATGTTTTCCAGTCAGATATGGGCTCTGGTGTTGGTCCTCGTGTGTACTCCCTGACTACCAGGGAGGAGTTAAATGTGAGGTCTTTGCTTTAGATTCTTTTCAAGGGAAATCCTATCCACCTTTTTCCTTCCCTTTATTTTTCTAATATTTGGCTCTACCAGCCTTCTCGTGGCTTCCCTGCTCACTAATAATGTTCCACAGCCTCATTTGAAAAAAAATCTGCAGATCTTCGTAAATACAGAATAATGTAAGATAGAGATGAAGATGTCCCTCCCTGCCACCACAGCGATCGAGGGAGAGAGATCTTGCTGTGTTATAAAATTAACGCATAAAACTAGTTCAACAAATCTGAAGATTGAAGTCTTACATTCACAGAGCATCAGTCTTGATTCTCTGTGCTATTGTGTGAACACCAGCAGCTGTTACCCAGCAGTATAGAGTAGTGGCAGGAGGAGAGATTCTGGAAGCCAGCTGCCTGAGTTCCAATCCTGCCCCTACCACTTACTGGATTATGACATCTGGCAAGTCCTTAGCCAAATTATAGGCATATAAATTGGAATAATAATAGAACTTTCACCTAGGTGTTTGTGAGGCTTAAATGAATTTCTTTATATCTACATATATTATGAAGAGTGTCTGACCTATAATAAACATGATAGGAGGGTTTGCTATTACTACTAGAAATCTGTCTCTGAAAACAACACTAAACATCATCTTGCAAAAGTGTCTTAGATCCATACACTGAAAACTACAAAACATTACTAAGAAAAAGCAAAGAAGATGTTTAAAAAAAAAATAAAATAAAATAAAGGAGAGCTATACCATATTCATGGCTCAGAAGGCTCTATATTGTTGAAGTGTCAATTCTGTAGGTTCCATGTAATCCCAAATGCATTCTCAGGGTTCTGCCCCTCCCTGAGGCAGCTCTGATGCATGGACTTGGCCAGGCTGAACTACATTTACCCTAATTCTCCTTACAGTAGTGTCAGATAAGGGTGGGCCACGAGAGAGGTTAGTCTGGCCAATTGAGTGGGACGCTGTGAAGAAGCAGTCTTTTCTAACAGGCTCCTGTGTTGAGGTGCTGCATTGACTCACCTCTTTAGTGTGAAACCACAGCTGTAAGAAACTTCCCCGCATCCTTCTTGGGCTTCTCCCACCCTGGAGCGAGGCGTGTTTGCTAGTTCTATGGCAAAGGAAGTGTTAAGAAAGAAAAAACAAGCACAAAATGGAGTCGGTTGCTCCCCATAACAACAAGCCCCGATTCCATCGCAGGCTCAATCCATCCTAAAAATGTGACCTTTTAACAGTCAATCTGAAATTTTGTAATCAACACTAGTGAAGTCATCCGCTTGATAAAAGCCCTTCCCCACAAAAAGAAGATGTCCCAGCCTGAAACAACCCTTTCTTTGTTTTGCTACCAACTTCCTTGTTCCGTGCTCTACCCGTGAAAACCTTCAGTGGTACAATGCCTCAGAGCATCTCTACTTGCTAGGTGGGATGAAGCATTTAATGAAGCCAATTAGATCTTCAAATTTACTCAGTTGAGGTTTGTTTTTAACAGGACCCCACAGGACACCTAGACCACTAAAGTCAGGGCCAAGAGCAAGGACATGAGTTTCTGCCCATCCTCTCGAGCTCTACAGCTCATCCTTTAGGTTCTAGTTTGTCTTGGCTCTCTCACGCTCTACATCCACCGTCCCATCACAAAGTGCTTGTCCCATGGGCTTCATGTCTGCTACACACCAGACGTGAAGAGAACACCTTACCGACACTGCCTAACCTGCCCCTACAATGGCATAAAGTCAGAGTCCCGTAAGAAGTCCTTGTACGTTCCATATGATCTAGCAATCCCACCTCTGGGAATATAGAGCAAGATAGCTCTGTAGAGAGCAAGATAAAGTCACTTGGGTCAAGCTGTGACTCATGTCAAGCAGTGATGTAGGCAGCCAAAGGCACTGCAGATAAGAACAAATATCCCCGAAACCAGCACAGGTTGACAGCACCCAGCACCGATAACCAACAGACCAAAGGGCAAAGGCTGATTAAACTCCAAAGGAGTGTTAAAACGAACTGTCGTGAACTGCCCGTCTCTCTAGATGTGGATCCTTCTACATCTGGCTGCATCCAAAAGGCAATTGTGGCCAAAGGCTCCGCCCAGTCGATCTCTGAACATAATACAGATCCTCCACTGCTTGACCATAGTAAGCAGCAAGTGCCAAGAGCTGACCTGGACTGCATGGAGACCTCATCTAAACTGTGTTCCCACGGACCGGCTTCGAGTATGGTTCATTAAATTCTTAACCCCTGTATCTTGTGTGTTGCGTAACCTTGTCTTGTGCTTTGCTTGCTGTGACATGTATGAAGTCAAGTTAAATGCATATGAAATGCCATTGAGTTTTGAATCCTGAACTTGCTTTATAATTAAGTTAACCTTGCTTTATGACTGAATAAAGCTGGCATCGTGGAAAGACAACTCGCGTACGCACCTTCGTACTGTGCTTGTCATTTTATATGTATATTACGTATAGTATATATAAATTTAAATAATAGCCATATTTATTTATAAACATAGATGCAAAAATCATAATTAAACTGTTAGCAAACAAATACTCAAACCAAGAAAGATTTAAAGACTATAGGACTTCAACTATACTAAAAAAAATTATTAAAAAAAAGATAAAGAACATGGGGGTTACCATTTTCTTTTCTTTTTGATGATTTTATTTATTTTTATTTGAGAGAGAGAGAGAGAGAGAGAGAGAATGAGTGGGGGGAGGGACAGAGAGAGAGGAAGACTCCCTAGAGCCTGATGCAGAACTCAGTCAGAGGACCCAGGGATCGTGACCTGAGCTGAAGGCAGACACTTAACTGACTGAGCCACTCAGGTGCCCTGGGACTTAAAATTTTCTATTTCCCTCTTAGAAGAATTAAATGGAAGAATAGAAGAGTCCCCCTTACGACTGCCACTGTTCAACACTGTGCTGTTGTCCAAGTCAATGTCCCAGGAGCCACAATAAAGCACAAGGGCTCTCGGGATTGCAAAAGAACAGAAACTACTAGAAATAGTAAGCAAGTTCTCAGTGAGGTGGGTAAATCCAACTTCAATATAGGAAAATGAATAGTGTTCCCAGATACTAGCAACAACAAAAATAAAAAGTATGAAGGTAGATGAAGGTTACAATAGCTCCCAAAAGGTTTCCTAGAAGTGAACCTAACAAAATGTGTGACACCTTTATGAAAAAGTGCAAGAATCACTGAAAACGTAAAAAGAAGACCTATATCAATTGAGGTATATACCATGTTAATGGATAGGACCTCAGTGCCACAAAGATGTCTATGCTTCCCAAAATTTCTCTCCCTCTTTTGCTCTCTCTCTCTCTAGCAGATGTGGGACGGTACCCAAGGGGAAGTACCTCCATGACAGCATGGAAATGCCCCCTGTCAAGGCTGGGCCTTATAATAAAGGGTAAAGTAACAGCCAAGGGAACCTGCACAGCCAAAGATCCCAGGCTGGGGAGGCAGCAGGAGGGACCCAGTGCCTATCACTCCTCTGTCAGGATTACCCGCAGGCCAGAGGGTGAGGACTGCCCACAGTCTCCACCTGAGATACCAGCTCCAGGGACAGCTCCTCTAATTTGCACCCGCTATGCATCTACTTCCCAGCCAACAGGGCTTTGCTTCTTTTGTTCCCACCAGGAAATCCCCATCCCCCTAGGGGCAGCACTGGCCCAGCTACCATCAGGAACATTCTGGGCCTCCCGTGACCTAGCAGGGAACATGACCTCCGATCTCCAGAAACGCAGCCACACAGCCTGGAGATTCAGCTCCCCGTATAAGCCAACACTCACCCCTCATGGGGCAGTGTGACAAGGTCAGCCATCCTGTCCCTGAGCCAATGAAAGGAATCCCATCAGTCACAACTGTTATGGGCTGAATGTGTGTGTCCCCTAAATTCCTATGTTGAAGCCCTAAACTGCAGTGTGGTGGTATTTGGAGCAGGGGTGTCTTTGGGGTGATGAGGTTTAGACCATATCATGAGGGTGGGACCCCATGAGGGGATTAGTGTCCTAAGAAGAGGCAGAGAAGCTAAAGCTGTCCCTTCTTCTCCTTCTGCTTCCCTCTCCATCCCTCCCTCTCTGTCAGATGAAGGCTGAGGGACCTTAGGCTGAGGACCCACTGGAGAATTAGGATCTCAAAGCACACCTGAGCCCTCCCTGCTGGGGAGTCAGGAGAAAACGCCAGAGTCCTAAGGCCAGATCCACACTCGTTTTCTCTTCCATGCATTCAGCAGACACGTGGAGAGCAACACCTGGGCCCAGACTTGGGGGCACAGGGGTGATGAGGCGAGGGCTCACTCCACTCCCCAGAGAGCCTGCCTCTCTGGGAGCTGGCCTGCAGGCCTCCTTCCTGCCTTCCCCAGCCAGGCTGTCCCAACCCCCTCTGGCATCCTACTTTCTCTTTCTCTTTCTCTTTGCAAGAACCCGGGTCCTGTTGCATGGTGGGGCTCCACCCAGGGGCAGCTCTGTCTCAGAGAAGGAGAGATGCTGGGTCTGAGCCCAAGGAAGTGCAGCCACCCGAGGGCCCTCCCCCCCAACCCCACCCCCAGGCCAAAGCAGGAAGGAGGTGGGGCATCCCCGCAGTGGCCTGGGAGGTATCAGATCTGGGAGCTTTCCTAAAGCAAGGCTGGTGAGAGGAATGGATCCCTGGCACCATGACCCAAGGTACCGGCCACCAGTCTCCCTGTCTGCGGCCCTCCCACCCCCTTCCCCAGCAGCACCCCCTTCCTGGTAGCCCTGCCCATGTCTGCCTCTGTCCCTGGCCTCCTCCTCCTCCTCCTCCCCGCAGTCCCACTTCCCTGCTCTCCCTCTCTGAGCTTCTTCTCTGCAGGACCCTCTCGTGCCGGGTCCTCACCCTTTTCTGGGGGATGCTCCCACTACTGCTTCTGAACATGCCCCTCCTGCACCTCTACCCAGCCGCTTGGTCCCCGAGACCAGCCTCAGGGTCTGAAAGTCTGTCGGGACTGCCCCTCCCGGCCTGTGCAGGCTTTCTTCTGGAAGTTTCTGTGCTCTGCTGACACTCAGAATTTAACTAAAGAGTGGGCGGAGCAGTGGGTGGATTTAGTTTGAAGCACTTTGATCGATTTTTCCAGAATACGTACACCGTTATAAACACGATGGGAGCCTAGCTCTTGGAGGCAAGAGGAGACGTCACCTGGTGCAGGGCTCTCCCAATCACGGGCAGACACGTAAATGCAGCCAGTTCTCACCCTTACCCGCAGCCCAGCTTCACTTCAGGCAGCTGGGGGGAAGATGCCAAGTCAGGAGAAACGCGCATATTTAAAGTGAAGTGGAGGAAAAGGCACATCTAGGACAGCATCCTGCTGCCAGGGCAGTCGTGGGAGGTCCTTGCTGGAAAGAGCCTGCCTGGGGACCCACCACAGCCCCATCACTCACTAGCCCTGGGCGGGGCCAGGCTACTCCACCTCCTGCCCCTTCCTCCTTCCCTCTACAGTTGGGGTGACTCCCTCGAGATCTGTGGAGGACTCTGTGAGTCCAGACATTTAAAGCACTTAGAATAGTAACCTGGACGTCTGAAGGTATCCATTAACCTGATAACCTTTAAAAAAAAAAATGCATTGGTTAAAAAATCAGGAAGGAAGTGCATTGCAGAATTAGAAAAGCTGTTCTCTGGGGATGTGGGGGTTCCTATTTCTCTTTGCAATTTTTCTAAAGGGTTGGGGAATGCATGAGCAGGAAAATCAGTGTGGTTGGAAGGAGCAAGACCGCACGGGCCCCTACAGGAGAGGTCCCCGTCCCTGCTGTCCCTGGCAGTAGCCCCCTCCCCACCCCCTTGCCCCATCCAGCCTGGAAAAGCAGAAGGCAATGCTCAGGACCCCAGAGTGGGGAGCTGGGCCGGAAGCCCCACCCACCTCACCCCTGGGATAACTCCAGGGAGCGCTCTCTGCATTTTCTGTTTTCTTTTGCCCCCAGAGACCCCCTGGAGAAGATAAGTCCTGGAACCTTCTTCTTCCACTTCCCAAGCCTGTGCTATGCTTCAGGGCGGAAACTCTGCTACCTCTGTTTCCAAGTGGAAGGAGAGGGGGAGGAGGACTCCTGGTATGACTTGGGGGTCTTTCAAAACAAGGTAAGGCCCTTGACAAGCAGGAGCTGAGTCAGCTGGGAAGGTGGAAAAGAATGGAATGAGATGTCACACGGGGGCTCTCCGTGGGGCATGCTCCTTCCTCCTTCCTCCAACATCTTCCTAAGATTTTGGCCTACGAGCTCCTTGCTTGACCCTCCTGGAACTGGGGACAGGATAGGTTTGACTTAGCCCATGAGCTTAGTTCAGAGTGTCCACCGGCATCCGTCTCCAAGTCTTCTCATGGAGCTCGGCCTCTAGCAATCTTGGACGAAAGAGCATCTTTAGAAAGTCAGGGCCATTGGACACCAGAGCCTTTTCTGCCCTAGTAATGGTTCTGCCGGTCGGGCCCTCCCCCGCCGCACCACCCACCCGTCTGGACCCATCTGGGGCCGTCTGGACCTCTGGTCCCTCAGGGGAGTGCCCACACCCCTTGTCTGTCTGCCTGCCCCAGGTCTGCTCCCAGACCTGCTCCCTGGAAGGCTGCCACTGCACCCATGACCAGCTTCAGCAGGTGCTGGAGCCAGGCCACCCCCACCCCCTGCCCTGCCCCCTAACCACTTGTCACTCCCGAGAGACCTGCCACCACACCACACCCCTGCCCTCTCCTCTCTCCTGACACTGCAGGCTTTTCAAAGCCTCTTTGCAGGAGAGAGCCTTTGTGGGCTGGGTCAGGGGTACCCCAGTACTAACCCGTAGAAACATCAGGGTCACATATGTCATTTGAAGTCTACTAGTACCAGTGTTCAAAGACTTAAGAGAAATTGATAAGCTTAGTATTGGTAATGTATTGGCAAATAGATCTAAGAGATTATTTCAGATTATAATTAATACAAAAATTCTTCACGAGGTCCTTTACATTCATCATTTTTACTGTCATTGGAACGAGATGGGTATTTACACTTGCCCCACATGTCAATTCAGACAAGCCACGTGTCAAGTGTTCTGGAGACACAGGGGGCTAAAGGCTCCCCTGCAGGGCAGCATGGCTGTGTGGTCCTCCCCAGCAAACAGCACCCATGGAACCAGCCTGAACCCCAGTGGGCCTGGCCTGGGGCCAGTAGAATGCCTGTAGGATGGATGGGTGGTTGGATGGATGGATGGATGGATGGATGGAGGGGTGGATGAAGGGGTGGATGGATGGATGGATGGGTGGGTGGATGGATGGATGGATTGATGGGTGGATGGATGGGTGGATGGATGGATGGATGGATGAGTGGATCATGGAGGGATGGATGGATGGATGGATGGATGGATGGATGAGTGGATGATGGAGGGATGGATGGATGGATGGATGGATGGATGGGTGGATGGATGGATGGGTGGATGGATGGATGGATGGATGGGTGGTTGGATGGAGGGGTGGATGGATGGATGGATGAAGAGTGGATGTTGGAATTGATGGTTGATGAGGAAGGAATGGCCCAGTCAAAAATGACAGTGCAGGGAGAGATAGAAAGGAGGGATAAATCAATGAACATCGTGCCCCTGGGACTCCTGCCCTCTCACCCTTCCTCCCATGGCAACCAGCCCGACCCTACAGCCTGCTTTGCCAGCCAAGAGGATCCCCTTCTCTTCTCCGCCTCTCCCAGGTCTATCCCCAGGCTCCCTGCCACGCAGAAGCCTGCTTCCTCTCTTGGTTCCGTGACCAGAATCTGCCCCCTGAAGAGCATTACCATGTCACCTGGTTCTTATCCTGGAGCCCCTGCCCCTCCTGTGCAGAGGATGTGGTTGAGTTCCTGGAGGAATACAGGAACGTCACGCTGAGCATCTATACCGCCCGCCTCTACTACTTCTGGGACCCAGATTTCCAGGATGGACTCCACAAGCTGTGGTGTGCAGGGGTCCATCTGGACATCATGTCCTTTGAAGGTGAGAGCAGAAGGAGCTGGGGAGACAGGACTGTGGGTGGGGGTAGGACTCGGGCAGTGGGTGCTGGAGGACCTAGAATGTCCCTAGGGAGAGTGCGTGGGAGGAGAGTCTGGGAAACTGAGGCAGGACTGATGGTGCCCGGAGGGAGGTCACGGGAGGGTCATGAGAAGAAGACCCCCCAGATCCCACCTGACACCCCTCTTCCCTCTTTACCTCAGATTATGAATACTGTTGGGAAACCTTTGTGGACCACAAGGGGATGCGCTTCCAGAGTTGGGATCTATTAAGAGATAATGATTTGCTGGCTGCAGAGCTCGAGAATATTCTTAGGTGAGGGTGTCCTCAGCCTCCTGGTTCTCTCCCTGCAGCTGCCGCTCCTTCTCCTGGGCTCCAGCCACCTTCACCTTCCTCCCCAGTTCCTCAGACTCCCTGCTTCCCTCCAGCACATCCTCCCTCTTCCCTCAAGACTTTCTTCAGTCCCGTGAGGGTCCCCCAACCTGATTCCTCCCATCTCACCGCATTAACCAAATCGTTAATAAACTGAAAGTAAATGGGCATGAGTACTACGTCTAAGTGTGAAACTCAGAAGCTGTGAGAAGCATCCTTCCTGAGGATGTGACTTCTCAGAGAACCAGGGTCCTTGCTGACAGTGATCTGCTGGGTGAGGGCATCTGCAGTCTGTCCTCTGTGCTCACCGCAGGGGAGCCCCTGCTGTTCCTCAGCCTGTCCCTGTCTCTCCTTCTCCTAACAATATCAGGCAGATTGGATTCGGGCCCATCCTAACAGGCCTCGTTTTAACAACCATCTTTTAAAAATCTGTATCTCAAAGGTCGTCGTGTTCTGAGGCACTAGGGTTGAGACTTTAGCTGATGGATTTGGGGGGCACACAGTCCGCCCAGACAATGACCCAGCGCCTTTTTGAGCTGAAGGTGTGCGGCAAAAGCAGGATCCTTATTCTGCGTATCTGTCTCCTGGGTTATGCCCGAGCTGCCCCTGCCTCCCCTGCCTCCCTTGCAGCCCTCACTTCCCTGGACCCCTCCTCCCCAGCGCCACCACCTCTCTCCAGGTCAGCACTGCACCTGCCCTCACTCCCATGTCTCTTGTCCCCTTCCCACATTGCTGCCAGAGGGGAAGCTTCAAGCAGGTTGCAGCCTGGAGACATCCATGGAAAGTGAGCAAGAAATTAATTACTCAGCTTACATTTAAATAACTTTTTTTTAATGTAGGATGGGGTATAGGAGGACTGAGGTCATCAGAACTTTTCCAAAAAAGCAGAATCAAAAGTGACAGGTGGCCGAGAATCAAGTCTGGGAGACAGGGAAACACGAGCAGTAGAGGTGAAACAGGGACCATCTGGTTCTTTGCCCACAGAGCCGAAGACCCCATGAACACACTGGCAGGGACGAGCAGGGAGGAGTCGGTGGTAGGGCCCCACAGATTGACCTGGACAAGGGCACGGTGAAAAGGACCGAGAGATCAACCTGAGATGGTGGGATTCCAGGCACGCGGAGGCAGGAAAAGCAAGAGGGCAGGTGTTCCGTTTGGAAGACATCCTAAAATCAATGTGCAGAACGTCTCGGGTCCCATTCAGACCAGCTGTTTCTCTCTCTGATCTTGGCTGGCTAGCTGTGAGTTGTTGGTGGCCACAGACCCCTGTCCCTCCCCGAGGCACCCTGTCTGTCCTGCTGCCTGGGGGCCGAGGGCACAACACAGAAGAGCTCGGGCTGTCCCCCGCAGTCTGTCCTGCTCCCCATGCAGGAGGCACGTGGGGAGACAACCCTCTTGACTGCCTATGACGTCAAAACAGGCCAAAATATCTAGCTCAGAATATCCCCTCCTTCTGGAGAAAAGAACCAAGCAGAAGGCCACTGTTAGAGATCTGTGGGGGCTTTCAGGACATTCCCTCCGAAATTGCCACCATCCTGCTCTGGCTCACCCTGTTCTCTGCCCAGCTCCGATGGCCAGCGAGCATTCAGCCTTCCCCCCATGCTTCCTGCTTCCTGGGCCAGAGGCATCTTAGCTGTCATTTTGACCAACACCTGAATACACAGATCCGATCACTCTCTTGGAAAGTCCCGGACCCAGCTCATTCTGGAAGCTTCTTCCAGAAGTTGGAAGCGGGAGACATGAGAACAGATCGGAATAGAGCGAATGCCATTCCCTCAGACCCTCCATCTCTTGCCTGTGGTCTTATTACCCCCTCAGGGCAGTCCCAAAGCCTGTAGGGCAAAACCAGGTGTGTGTGGTGGGGGCCGCCAGGTGGGAGAAGTTCTCTAGGGACCCTATGTGTCTGTGGTCTGGACTGTGGGTGACAGGTGGCGGTTCTAGGACCTCTCTAGTATTCAACTTATCCCAGTTGCTCTTTGTTTTTCCATCCGGGGGTCTTGGTGGACATGTGAAAGGCAAGTGGATAGCTTGTAGGATGCACACTTCAAGTCCAGGTCCCTGATCCCTGACCTAGGAGGCCTTGTGGGGACAGTAAGATCCCTCCTCTTGTGCCCCAGCCTCCAACTCCCACTCCTGGAACATCGAGGAAGTGGGAGGAGCCAGGCCAGTACCCCCGGAAGGCGTCTAGCTCTGCGGTTTGTTTGCTGTGTGGTTCCAGAGAGTAGCTTAGCCTCTCTATACTGGAACCTCGTTGAAGATGTCGGGGTAATGATAGGCCTCTCCCAAAGCTTCTGGGGACTACGGTAGAGGATCTGCTCAACACACCTGCCTTCTCCAGGGTTGGAGATGAAGATCTGACCCATAGACCTCACTTTCCAGATGCCCAGAGTCCTGACAAGATACTGAATGACTTCTAACGGCAACGCAGGGGTCATGAGGAAAGGGCTCACCCCACTCCTCAGAGAGCCTGCCCCCGCCGCAGGAGCCAGCCTCCTTCCTGACTTCCCCAGCCAGGCTATCCCAACCCCCTCTGGCATCCTACTTTCTCTTTCTCTTTGCCATAACCCGGGTCCTGTTGCACAGTGGGGCCTGTCTCCCCCGGAGGACAGCTCTGTCTCAGAGAAGGAGAGAAGCTGGGTCAGAGCCCAAGGAAGTGCAGCCACCCGAGGGCCCTCCCACCCCTGAAAGCAAAAGCAGGAAGGAGGTGGGGCCCCAGGGGAGAGGGGAGGCTGCCGGGCAGCCAGCCAGCCAGCCGGGAAGGTCACTCCAGATGGGGGCTTTCCTAAAACAAGGCCGGTAAGAAGAATGGAGCCCTAGTGCCCCAGACAAAGGGCAGGGCTGGGACAAGCCCCCTCGGGAGAGGCAGCGGCAGAGGAACCCCAAGGTCAGGTAAGTCCGGAGGAAAGAAGGTGGGTGGGAGCCCAAAGAGACAGTCAAGCCAGGACCTCCCACCCCAGCTTCTGCCTGGCAGGAAAGGGGTGGGTCTACCACTCAGACTGTTGTGGGAGGACACTCTCAGAGAAGGGGCTTTCCCAAGGCCAAGAGCAGCCTTGTGAGAGGGAAATGGAGCTGGAGAGCGCAGGGCCTGGGCCAGAATGAAGCCAGCCTGCCAAGAAGCCTGGGGCAGGGCCGCAGGGACCAATAGGGACCTGCTCCTAGGCTCTCTGCCTCCTTCTGCTCCCAGCCCGACTTCGATCCCTCGCTGACACCTAGTCCTTCATTCTATCTGTCCCAGTATGCGGGTCTGTTCCCTGCCTCTGGCCTGCGGGTACGGGTACGACCTGGGCAGGTGCCCAGCCCCCCACCTCCACCCAGATCCCACTGCCTCCAGCATCCTGTCTGCCTGGGGTGGGGGTGGGGCCCTCTCCCCTAGGTGTGACCCCTGGGTCTTCCTAAAACACTTCATTTAAGCTTAGTGACAGACTTCAGATTCAAGGGTGATTGAGACAATCGCTGGAGTGAACTATCAAAGCGTATTTATACATTCTATTTTAAAGACTTGCACAGTTTTGCAAAGAACGCTCTAATTTCTGTAACTGACGGGAACAAGAGTTCATCTGCCTGATGTTCAGGGAGCCAAGAAAGAAATGCCATGGGGTTTCAGTGCTGAAGAGACAGGCTAGTTGCTGGTGTGGGGCCACCCAGGAGAGCAAGGAGCTCATGCTGGGAGGTCCTGAACTCCCCAATGGTTTGCAGGTAAAGGCATTGAAGGGCAAAAATTCAGAGTTAGGGGTCCCGGCTCATGAGTTCTTCTGATTGATCAGGGATGAGATAAACTTCAAGGTTGATGAACTTGTCTTTCTGGTACCAACGGTGTGGTTTCACCCAGACTGTGGTCAGCGGTCCTACTCTTTCCACTATCCAGGTCTGAAGATCAGCTCAGCAGTTCGTATCAGTGATGCTGGCTTTGTTAGCAGAAGCAGAAACCAAGCACCTGGTAGCTAGGATGACCACTGTAGACCATGTCCGCTGGGGAATATTCATCATCTTAAGCAAAGCATCCTCTAAGTTGCCTTGGGTGTTTTCCCCAGCAATCTTTAACGGCAGGGCGACACGCCTTTCTGCAGACTTAATTCTGTGGCTGGTTTCATTTCTGCTCTGTGGAGGGAAAAATCATCTCCAAGATAAGAAGATAAATTGTTTCCCATGAAGATGGTACCAAGTGTGAAAAAATTAAATTAGTCTTCAAATGCTTCTTACGAGTTGTTTCTATCATCCCTCTATTTTAGCTGTTCAAGGTCAAGCTTCGACATTTGTGCTATTAAGACAAGGCACTTGTCTAAACTTGGAAATATGTCAGCCTTGAGTGTCTGGTTTGCCAGGGGCTGGGGAGCTTCCTGGGGCATGGGAAATTCATTGTCAAAACCGGGAAGCCAGGGAGCAGTTGGTTGTCCTAAGTGCGCTATGAGTGGAGGTTTCCGTTCTAACCTTCATGCTGAGGGCAGCCAGGTGCCCAGAGAGTACCGGTTTTGGGGGAGGTCACTGGCAGGTGACAAGGTCCCAAGGCCACAATCCAGAGATGGCTTTTTCAATGACAGTCACCAAGATGCACCTGAAGCTTTACTGATGAGCGTAAGGGGGAGCAGAGATGGGTTTCCATTGATGACATTAGTGGCTTTATTAATTAGCATAACAGATGGCAGAAATGGTCTTTTTTTTAAGATTTTATTTATTTATTTGACACACAGAGAGAGAAATCACAAGTAGGCAGAGAGGCAAGCGGGGTGGGGGGGGACGCAGGCTCCCTGCTGAGCAGAGAGCCCAATGCGGGACTCGATCCCAGGACCCTGAGATCACGACCCAAGTCGAAGGCAGAGGCTTAACCCACTGAGCCACCCAGGAGCACCCAGAAATGGTCTTTTGTTGGTAGAATCCATGATGTTTCAGCAAGTTGGCTGGAGGTATAGGGGAGGCATTTCTGGCTTTGCAGGAGCAGGGTATCCCGTAGTCTGTGCCCCGAGGCATGGCACCCTTGGCTTGATTCCTGAGTCCGGTTCCAAGCATCTGTGGTCACCTGAGCCAGACTCCGCGGTCGGCCAGTTCACATTAGCTTGGAGTGGAGGGTCCCGCGGGTGAGTGGGCTGGGGCCCCGTAAAGCTTCCCTCGCTCCTTCGGACTGTTCGGCATCTGTTTGGTCGGTAACCTCCACATGCAGGACGGTCGGAGCTCTCATGCACCTCCCCGCGGCGGGCAGGAAGGCTGTAGTTCAGTCCACCTGTTCGTATCTTTGCTGCATTGAGAGCATTTATGGAAAAGAATCCTGTGCACACATGCCCGCGTAAGCCAGGCCACTGTGCCACTGATAAACAAACTGGAATGTTCTCTAGAGTATAATCACAACTGGGGGTAAGACAAGCTCTGTGAGTCCTTCAGCCAAAGTCACCGTCACAACACTCCCTTGGTGACAACAGTGTTTCCTGTCCACCACCTTTCTGTGCTTTGTACAGATAGTCAAGATTGGGACACCCACACCTAAGCAAAGAGCACAGTTAGAAGAAGTACCAGGGCAGCCAGCCCCTCCCTCCCCAAAGAGAGGGCTGTGGCATTGGACATCGGGGTTGAGATGTCCGTGGGACCTGAACAGGGAGGTCTGGGGCACAGGACAAAGATGGGTGAACCACAGAAGGACCTATGATGTCAAGTTCTTGGTGGGGGTGAGGGGTGGCCAGCCAGCCAGAGGCATGTGGCTGCAGTGGCCTCCAGCATGGGCATGGCAGGCCCTATGGGGCACCCAGGAGGTGGATCCGGGTATGGCTGGGAGAGCTCACCCTCTTCCTCCTCCCTCCCCACCCCAGGGGCCCTCAGAGCACCCACGGAGTTGGGCTCAGGAAGTGACAGAGCCTGGGCTGACACCCGAAGACACTCTGAGCATCTTTGGTTTTCTTCCTCTCTCACAGAAGCACAATGAATCCACTACGACGAGAAATATTCTACCATCAGTTCGGCAACCAGCCCCGGGCCCCGAAGCCCTACCACCGGAGGAAGACCTACCTGTGCTACCAGCTGAAGCCACATGAGGGCCCCATAAAGGCCCAAGTCTGCCTTCAAAACAAGGTGCGGGGTGGGGGAGGGGCTGTCTGGACAGGGGTGGGCATTTAGGGGATCTTAGGGGTGAATACTGAGGCTTACCCAGGTCTCTGCCTGCTTCCTGGGAACTCTCCATGGTTTTCCCATCCCCGGGCCTCCGCAGAAGCTGTTCTCTCCAGCAGAACGCGCTTCCTGCCCTCATGGAGAATACAGTCTTTTCTTGTCCTCTGGATGTCAGTTCAGCTGCTGCTTCTGAGAAGCCAAGCGGTCTTCCATGGACAGACCCCACGTCCAAGAACTCCCTCGTACAAACCTGCCCTTTGCTTTTGCGCTCACCTTCCCACCTGCCCCGTCCCGCCTCCCTCCCATTCTGACCTGCTCCTTGGGAACCATGTTCCAACATCCCCTGATGTCCAAAAGGCAGGGTCTGCTGAGCATTTGGGAATTGTGCCGTGGGGTGTCTTTCTGCCAACCCATCTCCTCCCGGGGTGGGGGGTTGGGTCTGATTCAGATCAAGCTGCGGATGCTTTGGGGGGGGGTTACCGAATTAATGGAGGAGTGGGAGAAGGAAGGTAGGAAGGTTCTTTCCCTGTCCTAGACAAGTTCACAGGGCAGAGCCCCTTATCCCCAGTGGTGCCCTCACTACGTGACCTCTGGCCTCTGCGTTGTAACCAAACCTCTCTTCTCTCTGTCTGGGACCCTTTCTAGAAAAAGCGCCATGCAGAAATCCGCTTTATTGACAGTATCAGGGCACTGCAGCTGGACCAGTCCCAGAGATTTGAAATCACCTGCTACCTGACGTGGAGCCCCTGCCCCACCTGCGCGAAGGAACTGGCTATGTTTGTCCAAGACCATCCCCACATCAGCCTGCGGCTCTTTGCCTCCCGCCTGTATTTCCACTGGCGCTGGAAGTATCAGGAGGGGCTGAGGCTTCTGCATAAACCCAGGATCCCAGTGGCCGTCATGAGACTCCAGGGTAGGGAAAGGGCTGAGGTGTCAGGGGATGGAAGGGTTTGCAGCTCCAAGAGGGAAAAGTCATTGGGGGGTGGGGTGGGGGGTGGGGCAGTGTGTGGCTGGCCTGAAGGGTGGCCCAGCAGAGGCCCAAGCTCTGACACCATCAGGAAGGGCAAAGGAACAAGGGGTCCCTGGAATTGCAGGGTGCATGCTCCCCTGCCCCTGAGGCCTAACTGCCTTCCTTCTTCATCTTAGAGTTTGAGGACTGTTGGAGGAATTTTGTGGACAACCAGGGCGAGCCTTTCCAGCCCTGGAACAAGCTGGAACAGTACAGTGAAAGCATTACTCGTCGGCTTCAGAGGATCCTTGAGGTGAGAAGCTGTCCCCGCTGCAGGCAACCTGCCCCCCGCCGCCACCCCTCTTCCCAACTTTAACGCCCCCTTGTCTCTGTCCCTCCTCTCCTTGCTCTCTGTCCCCACTGTCCCCCTACAGCTTTCTCTTCTCCCAACACCCTTCCCCTCGCCCCAACAGCGGCTCCCAGTTCCTTCTTTGTCTCCATTTTCTTAAGATCTTGTCCATTCTCTGGTTCCCTCGAGGCCTCCCTGTCCCTCTTTGACGTCCTTGTCCCCTCGCCTTGGCTTGCTCCCCACACCACTACCTGCCAATGACATTTCTGTTTTCTTTCTCTCTTAGCACCCCCAGAATAATTTAGAGAATAACTTCAGAAATTTGCACATTTGAGAACCATCAATCCCCTACCACATTCCTGGAGCAACTCAGTGCTTCACAAACTGCTGATTTTAGCAGCAACTTGTGAGTTCCACGGGCACACCTGAGCCTCCCCTGAGTCCGGAAAACCTTCCTTTCCTCCTTCGGTTCTTCTGTTTGTTTCTTTCTTTCTTTCTTTTTTTTTTTTTTAATATGTATTTTTATAACTGAAAAAATAAACATAATTTTTAAGTCCATAAAGTTGGGTTCCTTTCTAAAAGGGAAATCAGGACTTGTCCCCATAAAAAAATGAATACAAAGGCCTTTTTATCCTACTACACCAAGAAAAAAAATGTGTTTGAGAATTCCCTCTGGAGTCTAGAATAGTTGGGTCATGTTGTCATCCCAGTATTCTCTGTTCCTTCTCAGTATCTACTGTGTGTCTAAATAAATAAGATGAAACTGTTGAGGCCATGCAGTTGCTCACTGAACTGAATAAAACCAGTTGGAACAGTGTTATTTGGTGTTCTTCATTGAAGCAATAAAGCCCCAACACCGGCTGATTAAAACAAGAAAAAAGGGGGCGCCTGGGTGGCTCAGTGGGTTAAGTGGCTGCCTTCGGCTCAGGTCATGATTTAACGTCCTGGGACTGAGTCCCAAATTGAGCTCTCTGCTCAGCAGGGAGCCTGCTTCCCCTCCTCTCTCTGCCTGCCTCTCTGCCTACTTGTGATCACTCTCTCTGTCAAATAAATAAATAAAATCTTAAAAGAAGGGGCACCTGGGTGTCTCAGTGGGTTAAGCCTCTGCCTTCAGCTCAAGTCTTGATCTCGGGGTCCTGGGATCGGGCCCTGCATCGGGCTCTCTGCTCAGCGGGGAGCCTGCTTCCCCCTCTCTCTCTGCCTGCCTCTCTGCCTACTTGTGATTTCTCTCTGTCAAATAAATAAATAAAATCTTTTAAAAAAAAGTATTAACTCCAGTTCATACAAAAGTCAGTTGTACTACTATGCACTAATAATGAACAGTCTGAGAAGGAAATTAAGAAAGCAGTCCCTTTTGGGGCACGTGGGTGGCACAGTCAGTGAAGCATCCAACTCTTGATTTCGGCTCAGGTCATGATTTCAGGGTCATGAGACTTAGACCTGTGTCAGGCTCCACGTTCAGCAAGGAGTCTACTTCAGATTCTCCCTCTGCCTCTGCTCCATTCTCCCCCTCGAATAAATAAATAACTAAATAAGAAACAATCTCATTTAATCAAAAAGAAGAAAATACTTAGGACTAAGCTTAACCAAGCAGGCACAGGCCTGTAAATGGCCAATTACAAAACATTACTGGACGAAATCAAGGACACGAATACCAGGAAAGATGTCTCATGTTCATGGCTTGGAAAACTTAACATTGTTAAAATGTCCACAGTACCCAAGGTGATCTACAAATTCAGGGCAATCCCCATCAAAATCTCAATAGCATTTTTTGCAGAAATAGGAAAAATCATCCTAAAATTCCTGTGAAATATTAAGAGACCCCCAACTGCCGTGCAAACTTAGAAAATGCAGAAGTTTGGAGAAAGACGTCAAGTTTCCAAAATTAAAAATCTGTGTGACAAAGGAAAACTTAACAGTCCCCAGTGCCACAAGTAAATATTGCAAAACAAAAACAAAATCAGAAAGAGACCGAGCCTCATGATGGAAGGTTTCAGTTTAAATCTTCAAGTGTGCCTCTCAGTAAGGAAATCAGTCTAGATGACTCAGAACCTGCTCTCTCGATGGGGCTGAAATTTTCTGTGTCTGTTTGGCCTGTTATTTAAGATGTCTGGAGGGGTCAAAAAATCAGTCACACTAGGCTTGTAATTGCCATCTAGGTTTTGAGGAACTGTAACTAATCACATTAATAATAATGTTTAAATGTTCAAGGAAATTGATTTCCAGAGTTCTATTGCTTTCATAAATTGTTCAATGCTACTAAGTACCAGTAAAATTGATACTTAGTAGCAATAAAATTCTGTAAAAAATTCAGTAAAATTCTGCCCTCCAGGCACAGAAACCTGGATATTAAAGAACTATCAAAACTGTATTAGTTAAATTGAGACTCCCTGAAAGTAACAGGAAGCCCCCAAACCAGAGGCTGAAACTAGCTAGGAACAGGGGCCTCTGAGCTTGGTCTGTTCACCACCAAGCTCCTAGGTCTCTGTTTACGTCCTCTGCAGTGGGAAGGTGCCCCCTGGGTCTGTGCAATGCGGAAGCCCCAGAGGGACGTTTATCCCAAACAGAAAAAGCCCAGATATGAGCTGCTGAATGAGGATGGCCCAGGCTGCTTCCAGCTTTCCATTCTCGTTCTCCGGATGTGTGCGGTCTTTGTCCTCGTGTCCCCCAAATGTAGTGCAGTCATAACATCTGTGTTCTGCCATCTTGGATGGGGAAGTGGAGAAGAAAGGGGCAAAGGACCCAGCTGGCTGTCTCCTCGGAAGGGTCCCAGAAGCTGTCATTTGGCCTTCATTGTCACATCTCATTGTCTAAGACTTAGTCATTCGGCCCCATCTCGCAGCAAAGGGATCTGGGAAATGTAGCCTTTCTTGGGGATGGTCATATAACTTGGGGAAAGTCAAGGGTTTTATACTGACAAAAAAGAGAATAGAGTGGGACAATTAGTCTCTGTCACATAAGTGAGAAAGTATCTAAAAATAAATGTGAAAGGTGTGTGTGCTGAGCGGGATCGCATCCCCTCCGAAATGCGTGTCCTTTTCCAGAACCTCAGAATGTGACCTTATTTGGAACTAAGGCCATTGCAGATGTAATTATTTAAGATGAGGTCACACTGAAGTAGGGTGGGCTTTTAATTGAATACAACCCGTGTCCTTACGAGAGGAGGGGAGACCCAGACACAGGCTTGCAGGGAGAAGGGCCTGTGAAGACCGAAGGAGAGTTTGGATCCACGAGCCAGGGAACGCCAAGAATTGCCAGCAACACCAGAAGGGGAAAGGCACCACCTGTAGAAGACGCAAGAAAGATCCTCCCTAGAACCTTCAGGGAAAGCATGGCCGGCGGACACCGTGATATCAGACTGCTAGCCTCCAGAACCAGAGAATACATTTTTGCTGCTTCGTACTTGGTCATGGCGCCCTGGAAATGAATACAGTGTATATAGAAATAGAGTTCTTGGGGCGCCTGGGTGGCTCAGTGGGTTAAGGCCTCTGCCTTCGGCTCAGGTCATGATCCCAGGGTCCTGGGATCGAGCCCCGCGTTGGGCTCTCTGCTCAGCGGGGAGCCTGCTTCCCTTCCTCTCTCTCTCTCTCTCTCTGCCTGCCTATCTGCCTACTTGTGATCTCTGTCAAATAAATAAATAAAATCTTAGAAAAAAAAAAGAAATAGTGTTCTTGTGAACTAATGATCCCCAATTTACGAGTATTTATGTGGGGTTAGTGAAGTGATGCTATGCTTGACAGTCATGAAAATTATGAAATGCTTAGGAAAAGCCCTAAGGAGAAAGATGTACACTTTATGAATATAATTTTATTTTTTTTAAGATTTTATTTATTTGACAGAGAGATACACAGCGAGTGAGGGAACACAAGCAGGGGGAGTGGGAGAGGGAAGTAGCAGTTTCCCGCGGAGCAAGGAGCCCAATGCGAAGCTCCATCCCAGGACCCTGGGATCATGACCTGAGACGAAGGCAGACACTTAACCCACTGAGCTACCCAGGCGCCCCTATGAACATAATTTTAAAATGTGAATAAAGGACATAAAAATCGAAGCTACATGAAGCGAGGAAAAATTTAATATCCTTACGGAAAGTATCCTTTTTTCTTTTTCTTCTATAAATTCACAGCAATCCTAACCAAAATTTCCTTTGAATCTGTTTCCGTAATTTGGCCTGTCAGTTTTAGTCTCAATGAAAAGAGAAAATCTGTAAGAACAGCCAAGAGAATTCCGAAAAAGAGTAACAATGTTGGGAGGGAAGAGGGTTTGCCCTATGAAGTATTTTAAAACTTTACGGATATTGACTATTAAACATACCCTAAAGCTATAAGAGTTAAATTAGCTTACAGGGCCTCCCGCTAGCCAAATCTGAGAAATTCTGAGCATTCAAGTAAGTAATAATATAATGAAAGATAGCCCATTGAATGAAATAGAAGACCATGAATCCGTACTAATATATATACATAATTACATTGAAAATGTGAAGAATGGGATAGTTACATAGTTTCAAAAGATCTTCGGAAAATAGTTCCTCATTTCAACAGGAAAAGGAGTAACTAGTGGACACCCCATTAATCATACGATCCAGACGACATGATGAACAATGGGGCAAACAGGCAACGTGTGCTATGTCCCGAGGTGCCGTGAGAACACAGCATCACCTTGGTGATGTCCCCGCTGAAGATGCATGACCTGAATCTCACCGAGAGGAAACATTGGATGAGCCCCCATTCAGGGGCGGGCTCCAAATTGCTCCCTCGCCTATCATTGGTCCTATAGCACCCCTAGCGGTGGGGAGCGGCATTTCGCTGGGTCAGTTGTTGCTTCCTCTCCTCCCAAATAAATGAAGAGTTCTGTACTCAGGAAGGCGAGTTGGGCATTGGTGGTTAAGTGTTATGGCTCAACCGTGTCCCCTGAAAAATTCCTTTTTTTCCTTTTTTTTGGGGGGGGGAGGGGGTAGGGTCCACGCCCAATGTGGGGCTGGAACTCACGACCCTGAGAACAAGTTCAAGAGCCACAGGCTCTATCCACTGAGCGAGCCAGGCCTTGAAAAGTTCCTATACTAAAGTCCCAATTGCCAGGACCTCAGAATGTGACTGCATTTGGAGACAGAGCCTTTAAAGAGGGGTTGAAGTTAATGGTGTCAGAGGGGTGAACCCTAATCCAATAGGATCTGTGTCCTTATAAGAAGAGGAGATTACCAGGGCACCAGGATGGCTCAGTGGGTTAAGCGTCTGCCTTCGGCTCCGGTCATGATCCCTGGGTCCTGGGATCAAGCCCTGCGTTAGGCTCCCTGCTCAGTGGGGAGCCTGCTTCTCCCTCACCCTCTGCCTGCTTGTGCTCTCTCTTTTGCTTTCTCTCTCAAATAAATAAAATCTTGAGGAAAAAAAAAAGAAAAGAAAAAGAAGAAGAAGAAGAGGAGATTAGGACACAGACACACATGGAAGGAAGACCAGGTGAGGATACAAGGAGAGTGGCCATCCGCAACCCCAGGAGCGAGGGCCCA